TGAGCATGCGTTTCTCTTGCTGAAGCCAAAACTGAGGGCAAAACACCCAAAACACAAGCAGGAAGTGCAGACGGCTACAGTAAAGGGCTGGTAGAGCATCACCAGGGAAGAAACCCAGCATCTGATGATGCCTATGTGTCCAACACTTGAGGCAGTCATTGACTGTAAAGGATTTACAACCAAGTATTAAAACTGACTGTTTAATTGATGATTATGTTAGTTTGTCTAAATACTTATGAGCCCTTAAAGTTGGGGGACTGTGTGAAGAAATGGTTGTAATTCCTACACGGTTCATATTACATTTTTGAAAAAAGGCTTAAATGAAAGCTGAGAGTCTGCACTTTAAGCAGGTATTCATTGTTTCATTTAAAACCTATTGTGGTGGTGTACAGAGGCAAAATGATGACAACTGTAACACTGTCCAAATAATTATGGACCTGACTGTATGCGTGTGTATTTCTCAGCTCCTCACCTTCCTGTTGAGCTCCTTCTCCCTATCGCTCTGCTCTTTCTGTCTCTGGGTCTCCAGCTGGATCTGGTTCTGCCTCTGGGTCTCCTTCTCCTGCTGAGCTCCCTTCAGAGAGTCCCTCAGGACCCGGATCTCGCCGTTCTTCAACACAATCTCCTCCTCCACCTCCTTCAGCTAATAACACAAACATTCAGCAAGAAGTGGTTATACAGAGTCCGTTCTCAGCAGAATCAAATCACTCATTATACTTGACATTTAACCACACTGATGGCAAATATCTACTGCTTTGGATGACCTCACACTGCTCCTTGTTATCTTTATATAATCCTACTACATCTGGGTTTCAAACCTCAACACCTTCTTGGTCCAGACTGAAATGTGTCTGTAACACCAACAATCAAACAGTGACAACAAATGCCTGGTCAGATTCGGAAGTTTTCATATCAATATGCAAATTTTAATTTGTTGTAATGACTAAAAAGTGACTTTTACCAACTACAGAGACTGGACTTTAGGTTTTCAGATGAAAGGCGCAGTTATTTATGTACTTAAAAACACCTGGACAAGCAGTGACACAACAGTGGGACAGTCATTACATAGTTTAAATACACTGTACTTAATCAGAAATTCTCACAGAAATATCAGATGTCAGGATAAACTTTGGGGAAATGTACAAATGAAGCACAAGATGTGTAATATTTCCATTTGATGCAATGGTGATAAAAACAAAGAGTTTAGGGTTTTGATATTTCACAGTGTAAACATCCTACAGCTTCAGTAAAGACAGAGGGCCCTATCTTACACCCAGCATGAAGCAGCGCACAGCTCAGTGCAACTGTCATTGCCACTTTCAGACTGATGCAGGTGTCATTTTCACAGCCAGCACCCACGTTGTGTAAGTAAGAAATGTACTTGCACCCATCTGTGCGCCCATGGAGGTGTAAGTCTCAAAATGATGTGTGGTCAGGCATATTATTGGCGAACAGCTATTTTGAGGCAGCAGAATGTGATTCCATCATTGACTTAAGGCCAAGTTTTTGTTGGTCAATGGTAATATTTTACTGCTATTTAAAGAGTGCATTATTCAGATAGTACGATGCGCCTACAAAGGGAAGTTCACAACACGCGTACACTCTGCCTGTTACACACAGAGACACACAGATGGGTTGCGGGAGGGTGAAATAATACACTATTAATGAGGAGGATATTAATTACATTCTCTAAAGTGTGAACATAGCAGAGAGCTGAGCAGAGCTGCTTTCCAACTCCCCATTAAGAGACACGCTGTGCAAATGTACACACGAGGAGCAGCGTTACTTCATTGATTATTTCAGAGGCTAAATGTTGAGTCCTTTTTCTTCTGTCAGGTTTATAACTACAGCTTTTAGTTTTGCTGCTTAAACAATATTTGCTACAGTGACATTACTCCTCTTACTGTATCACTGTCAGCAGAGAACTGCTCACATTTCCAATTTGCCAAAGGTGCCGTGTAAATTGCAGTGTGCCATAGGCAGACATGCCTGGCTTTTAAAGGGAATGGAAGATGACACTTTGATTGGTTGAACTGATTTGCCTTACTTTTCACCCAGATTATGTGCCCTTTAACTAGCAAAAGTGGAGTTGGACAAGCAGTGTCCTAAATGTGCTTGTGCCATGTACTATGTCCTATGGATCATTAAAATAAGGCCCTATGAGTTAGAACTACTTGATACAGAACATGCTGTGTATGATACAGTCAGACAGTTTGGAATAATTTAAACAACCTTAAATCCACTTAAGAGACAACAAAAGGGAAAATGTACAAAGAGGATAACAGTCAGATTTACAGCAGTGTTTACCCAGAGTTATTCAAAAGGCTGTTTTTCATTTGTAGGCCTTCAGCGGATGTTACATCACCCTACAGTAGTTTTTTAATGAGGTAATCACCTAACAAGTTATTATTATTGGTATTTTAGATTTTTATATTTGCACTCTTCCGCCTATGTATTGCAACTGCTGTGCAGCAAATATCCTCGAGATACTCAGATGATATCACGTGATAATAGCAGTTTTAATTTATCTTATGAGCCCTGCTCAACAAAAATACAGAAACTTGAAAATGACACTTAATTCATGTTATAATCTCACATGCCAATGGAATATCATAAGCACTGTTATGTCTCCCTGCTCTGATTATATAGTTTTGTTCACTGTAGTGATTCTTCAGTATGCTTTACAACAGCTGCTTTCTCTAAATCTGCCTGCTGATTGGATGCACATGGGTTATCTTTTTTAGGTAGTGAGAAAGCAGTGAGCCTCACCTTCCTCTTTAGCTCTGCATGCTGAGCCTCCAGCAGACAGTAAGAGTCATCTCTGTCCAACCCAAGCTGCTGCTGCCTGTTACCTGAACACACAAAATAACAAAATTTTAAAAGCATGTTAAGCAATGCTTGTTAAAGGATACTGCAGTGGTTCTGCAGGTTTAAAAAGTAGAGGTATATCAATACATCTTAGTACAGTATAGAAAATATACTGTATAAAATATTCACAAGTCTCCCAACTGACAGTATGTGTGTTTACTGTAAGAATACACAGCAGCTGATTAGACCAACCAATTTACAAACGTACCAGATTATCACTCAGTTTTCACCTGGTTTTCATTCAAAGTCTAAGATTTTCATCTTCAAACTGACTGTGATGGTCTTTGTTACAGTCAGTCTTTAATATGTAGGTAGATTTGAAGGAAATTTAATGAAATCAATGACTGCCTAGAAGGAAGAAAAACAATCTTTAACTGCTGAATAATTTTCGAGCAGGAATTTTAAACACAGATGATAACGCTGGTAGTCTGTGGGATGAAATATGTAATTCAGCAAAGGTTTGATCTTTACATATGACCATATTTTGATGATCTGCTCTAAGCTCACCGAGAGGCTCTCTGCTTGGTATCCCAGGATTTCCCCTGCTGCTGCTTAGCCCAAACGCGTTCTCTCTGCTGTGGTTGGATGTGGCTCTGCTGACAGATTTACTGTGCCCTGCATTCGACGGCCAGGCAGACCCACGGGCCAGCTCAGTGGGTTTGGTTCCTGGTTTAGACCCAAGTCCAGGTGTGGTGACACCAGTGTTGGCCTGCGAGGCGATGATATCAATCTCATCCAAGTCGTCCTGAGTGAAGTCCTCATCATCTCCAAACGGGTCATCAAAGGCCACTGTCGTCACTGCTTCCTGGTTCAGGCCTCGAAGGCGCTTGGTGGGGGGATAGTTCATGCTGTGGGGGAGAAAGAGAAAAAGACAAGCAGGTTAATGAGCTACAAACAGCCACTGGTCTACGATATTGTTGGTTTTAGCATCAGGGCCTGTATTTATCCATCTTGTCAGAGTGGGATATAACTCTAGCTGGCCAAAAATGAGTGATGCAACTTCATATGAGGTGAAGCTCCTAAACTGATAACTACAACCAAAGCTGCATCACTATGGTGGTTTGAATATCTGAGACCTTTGATAAAGATGGGCCTTAGTTCAATATCCATAAAGCCTCTCAGGAGTAAAATTTTTGTTTTAATTATGTCAAATTTCTAAGAACAACTAATAACCATTTTGCGTTCATTCATTCATATTCCTAAATGTTAAGCCTCGCCCTCTGAACAAAGGAATACTTTGCGCATCTATTATATTTTTTTAATATTTCTTTAACACAGTTATGAGAGCTACTTTAAACAAAGCTGATCAGTCCCAACTTCTGCCCAGAATTGTTTGAATCATAAATCAAATTCACAGATATATATTCCATTCATCAGACTGTTTTTGCTATGTTTTAAACATACTGGGTTATCCAACAACAACAGCAAGTTTAAAGCCTCTGCGTGTTGAAATTAACTGAAACCTGAGGCTGTCTGGGAAGAAAGGACCTCAGCCTTAACATTAAGAGATGAGTTAAGAAAATGCTCAGCAAGAATGAAAACACAGGTTTGTAGTTTAGCTCAGCTCAGACCAAAGTTACAGCCAGTCTGTCGCTAACATAAACTTCTTAACAAGCCTGTTGCTAGGTCATTAAGTGTTATTAAGTGTGTAGTTCCTTTGGGTTCGCCACCTGTGTTACCTTGTGTCCCGGTGCTGCTGCTGTCGCTCCTGTTAGCTGTTAGCCACAATGACACCGCTGCATAACTAACGTTAGCTGTGATTCCAATGGGAAGTTAACCTTCTGCTAAGCTAACAGGGCTCACTCCGTCAAAACAGTATTTAACTGTCTGTTTAAACTTCACGAAAAAGACATAACATATATCTGATAATGGCGTCTCTTCAGACTCCAAACTCAGCTCTAAATCAAACGGTTAAATGTGTTTTACGGTGGCCAGCAGCTGGATAACACGAAGATATAATTATCATGAAAAGTGTTCGCTTGTTCCGCCCGCTCCGGTGCCGCTGTCAATCTGACCAATCAAAGCGCTACTCCGGCAAATCTGACCAATCAAAGCACTCCTCCGGCAAATCTGACCAATCACAGGCGACCATGCACTACACTGGCTGTCGTACGGGTCCTTCGTAGGGACAAACTGAACTCAACGTACGATAAGGCGCGAAAAAGCGTCTTTAAAGGAATAGTTCGAAGTTTGAGAAACATTTCAGCTAGATGAGGATATCTTCCTATCGTGTCATAGTAATTAATTTTACCTTTTATATCTTAATTTTCTCTTTACTTTTTAATTCAATTGTAAATCTGTATCCTTTGTTATGTTTTATATTTTCTTGCTCTGTAAAGCACTTTGAATTCATTTAATTATTATTTTTTTAATTTTATATACTTATAATTGCCCTGGTGTATGAAATGTGCTATACAAATAAAGCTGCTTTGTCTTGTACAGTAAATAAAAGTTACAACTAGCTTCTGGTTAGTTTAGCTCAGCACAAAGACGACAGGCGGGGAGAAAGACCTTCAGGACTTTTAGGAATTAATTTTATAAATTTTAGGAATTCAGTTTTTTTTTTTTTAAATCAGTTTTTCAGATATGAGGAATTTGCCTTTGTGTTTCTGTGCACAGCAATAAATATAGTAAAAATATAAAAATAAAAAAAAAGACAAAAAGAAAATACTGCAACAGTCAAGAAACATAAATAACATTTTAAAAAAATGACAATAAAAATATGGAAAGAAAAATCAGAAAATATATGACTTAAAATGAAAGCTGTGCAGTTTTGTGCAGGAATGTGCAAAAATACTGACCAAGGAATGTGCAAACATTAACATTATGAAGTAAAGAGAGCTAACAAACCCCACTTGGCAGCATCTCTAAAGCCCAGTAAATAATATTCTACATGTTGTTTGTTTATTCTGTGCCAAAAACATACAAACAAATGCATAAAAAACAAAGTGTGAAATTACATGTTGTGGTTATGTTTGGGACTATCTCTTGGCCATGTTTAGTAGCCTCGCACTGATGACATAACTCTGATATTAAACATTTGTATTTGCACTCCATAGCAACATGGTCACATTTTATATAGCCGCATACAGTCTTTGGATTTTGTAAAGTGTGGGGGGCATGTCCCTCTGTCCCCCGTGAAAATTACAATGCGTGTATTTAAAACAAAGAAAATTGATTAATTGCCTCCCTGTAACAACCACCATGGTAGTAACCTGACATTAGTGGTCACTGTTTTTATCCACGTTATTTCGAAGGCTGATGTTAGTATGAATCCCTGTATGTACACGCGCCACATATAGAAGCTTCTTGTGGCTTCTCAGCAACAGCAAGTGTGCTTTCCATTTTTAGACACAGACAGGTCTGTGTGTCGCAGCTGAGGCTCTACAGTGTGTGTGTGTTTAACACTGACACATGCACTCTCTCTTCCTCTCTCTCTCTCTCTCTCCGCCTCCGTACTTCAGTACAGAAATGGCAGAGCTCAGCGACAGGCATCCAGATGCACCCATCAGCATCAGCAGCAGCTCTCTCTCTCTCTCACACACACACACACACACACACACACACACACACACACACACACACGATCATCACGAACATCTGCAGCACCATGGCGTCACCGGTGTCACCAGTGTTCTGCGCTCTGGCAGGTCTGCTCTGCACAAATTCAGCTGTTTATGGCTTAAAAAGATCTTTCATTGAATGAGCAAAGCGGCACACACAAACACACACATTTGGTGGGCAAGTTGGTTGCCATAACAACGAAACAGTCAAAGCAGGGTCAGTGAGTGAATCAGATGAAATGAAACCTACATACATGTGTATGTGTGTCTTACCGCAGAGCAGAGGAGCGGCTGTAACTCTCACATGTCTGATTCTGTCCGATGTGGGTTTGAGACATCTCTGACTGTCCTCTCCTGCGGTGTCCTCTCAGGAGGGCCTGCAGTGGGACTCAGGCTGCTGTCCAATCGAAGTGAGAGCTGTGTTCACACATGAAGATGGACAGGATGTCCCTTGTGATGTGACACTCATAGACAGGTATAAACCTTTCTCAATAGGGAGTCAACAAGTTCAAACCCAGCAAACTTGACTCGAGTTCAAACACCTGAGGAATGAAGAACTTCCAACAATCAGTAACCATTTGCTAAGCCCTGCCCCTTGTTGCTACTGTTGCTACACCTGTAACAGAGAGAGAAAGAGAGAGGTGAGCTAGAGAGGTAATAATAAGGGGAAAAAAAAGATTATTTTCGGTTGTCACACAGGCTGAGCGCTGGTCAGGTTATAACTGTAGTAAACCTCTTTTACCCCCGTCACACTGCAAAGGACAGACTGATCAGGCTCCTCTTCTGTGGACAGAAGAGGAGCCTTCTAGACACCGTCTCCGTCTCCACATTTAAGACTAGACTTAAGACTTTCCTTTTTGATGAAGCTAATAATAGGGCTGGCTCAGGATCGTGGATCGTAGTTGTGCTGCTGCTGTGCTCCTGCCTGATGCCTCCTACTACTGCTGTTATTACTGTCATACTTCTCCTTTTATTATACACATGACTATTATTGTCACATAAATATACTGTCATATACTTATAACATATATGCTACCAAAATACAATCATTATCATTATTATATTATTACTAATTTGAGTGTTATCATAGCTAATATCATCACTGTCTGTGCTGCATCTCTCTGTCTCTCTTTATGTATCATTTTGTCATATGGAACAGTGTAAATTTATTATGTTGATGTTCTGTACGACATCTATTGCGCGTCTGTCCTGGAAGAGGGATCCCTCCTCAGTTGCTCTTCCTGAGGTTTCTACCATTTTTCCCCTGTTAAAGGTTTTTTTTGGGGAGTTTTTCCTTATCTGCTGTGAGGGTCCTAAGGACAGAGGGATGTCGTATGCTGTAAAGCCCTGTGAGGCAAAATGTGATTTGTGATATTGGGCTTTATAAACAAATTGAATTGAACTGACTTGACTTGAAAATAATCTGTTAATCAATCAATCAATCAATCAATCAATTTTATTTATAAAGCCCAAGATCACAAATCACAATTTGCCTCACAGGGCTTTACATCATATGACATCCCTCTGTCCTTTGGACCCTCACAGTGGATAAGGAAAAACTCCCCAAAAAAACCCTTTAACAGGGGAAAAAAATGGTAGAAACCTCAGGAAGAGCAACTGAGGAGGGATCCCTCTTCCAGGACGGACAGACGTGCAATAGATGTCGTACAGAACAATCAAGAGGCAAACTTGCAAATGATGACTCGCCCTATTCTCCCTATGATTGACTGGTACTCGTCGCCTTCATTGGTTGGATTGGTTAAGGTTAGGCAAGAGGATTGGGATCGGTTGGGGTTAGGATAAAATGTCAGAGTAAGACAATCAGAGGCAGAGTAAGGCGTGCCATTCCTCTGCCATCCTCAGATTCGCAAATTTGCGAGCTTAACCTCATGCTACTGCAACCTTTATGTTAATGTCATGGTATCCGGTTCAGACTTGTGCTGTGTTGAAGACACCAACATGTTAAAACTGCCTGCAGATTAACATAAAGAGGCGCATGTCTGACAGGGTCTGAAACAGTGAGCAGTTTGAGAAAGCAACAGAAGCAGCTTCTCACTTTTTGCCAATGAACAAAAATATTGTCGGCTGTAATGACAGCTGCCACTAGCAGATTTTGTAATCAGTGGCTGGCTCAGTCACAAGATGACTTTACAATGTTTCCAGCTGATTCATATCAAATGAAAACCCTGCAGGTTTTAAATATTTCCATGCATCACAAAAATGCTGACCATGAAGCCTATAGCTGTGACAGGGCCTACATCACACCAATATGGTAGATTGATGTTTCATATCTGAAGAAATACTGCACAATGACATGAATAGACTGTTATAATACACTCATGAGACTGAAACTTTGAAATCAAGGTGTTGTAGTGCTTTGGGCCCCAGTTATTAAATGTATATAATGCAGGATTTTCCTAAAAACAACAACAAAAAAAAAAAAAAACAATGTGTAGACTCATACAAAAGCAATTCCTCTCTACCATCAGTAGAGATGTGTGGGGGTGTATTTATCTGCAGAGACGCTGCCCTCTTTTCTTCTAATGTAGCTGAGGTCGGGACGTTACTGGGCTGCTACATTTGAGCAGTGGTGGGTAAGGTTGGGACATTATAAAAAGGTATTCGCTTAGCAGATTGCCGAAAAAACAAAGGTAGCAAGGTGAAATGCCAAGGAGACAAATCTCGCTCCAAGACAAGAGTGAATATGAGGTGGGCTTTCACTTTCACCTTTTATGTCCCTTTCTTTAAACCATACCACAATTTGCTTGAGTATATTTTTAAGCCAGTAATCCACTTTTTACTTGACTTAATTTGCCATCTATACCTTTGTTCCAACTAGTCTGCTCTAAATGTGAGGATGTAGTGTAGGGGGTGAAAATGTGAGGAGCACCTCTGCTGCAAATGTGAAGTTTCCAGCTACCTGGAAAAAAAAGACGCACCACCTGTCTTTTGGCCACAATGCAATCATGACAGAGCAAAACCCAGAACAAGAGGCAGCTTCCAGTGACAATCCCTGGCCACAACTCATTTACCAAAATCTAAAAAGACAAGTTACATGATGATATGCTTGATGAGATCTCAGCCTTTAAAAACTCCTCTTCTCCACAAGCACATTGAAATAAGGTGCACATACTGGTGGTGAACATGAAGTTATCTAACTAACCTTATTCTAAGCAAGGTCATTTAATTTATCCACTTTGGAACAGATATTAAATAGGAGAAAGAGAACTGTAGGCGAGGAGCAGATGGACAGTGAGAGTGGGAGATGGTTTATATCTCATTTGTTTAGGCCAGTGGCTCTCAAATGGTATGCTGTGGCACACTGGTGTGCCGTGATGGAAATCCATGTGTGCCGTGGGATTTTGTGATAACCACACATTATTACTGCAATATTCAAATGGTCCCATACAAAAAGTTATGAATACATTTTTTATTGACTGTCAGTATGTTGTGTGCACCCATTTCCTAAGAAAGATGGGAAACGCCACCACATCACATTATCTTACATTATTTCCCATCTAAATGGATGTGTTATTGTTGCTTTGATGTGATTTTAAAAAGTTTAAAATGAATTCTTGAATCATTTGGTTAATAAATATTTCATGAGTAATGGCTGGTTGTCAATTGTAATTAATGTTAGTAATTAAAAACAAACTTTTATGTTTCGATGAGTGATAACACACATTATAGTGGCTACTGTGCACAGATATAGATACAGGTGTTGCCTTGAGATTCTGGCTTGTCCTTTGGTGTGGCTTGGGCACCAGTACTTTTTAACTTTAACTTGATTAGCTTTTTCAACTGGTAATTTTTACCTTTACTTGAATCACTTTTAAGGGAGTAATTGCACCTTTGCTTGAGTATAGATTTTCCGTACTCTACCCACCACTGCTGGTGAGCACTTAAGGAGAGGATGGGGATGGAGAGCGACACAGATCACACACATCAACTCATGTACCATTTCTAGTTCCACAGCTGAGGCTGATAATAATGGATCTGGAAATTCTTGCACATTGACTTGCTAGAACATTTTGGTCCCAATCTAAAACAGAAGAACCCTAGCAGACACGAGGGACTCCATCTCCCAGCATGTCTTGAGCAGCATCTGCAGGAGGATCCCAGATGAACAGCTAGAAGATGGATTGTTGTACGGTGTGTTCCCTCTGTTACTGTGTGTATCGCTGCAGTACAGATTCCCTCTTGCACATGTCGAGGCTTCATGAGGAGTTTCAGTCAGAGAGGAAGACATCCAGAGGGAGAACGCTGCATCTGATTGGCTGATGACCCTTAACAGGCCACCAATCAGACACCATCCTCACTGTGTGACTGCGTGTGTTTCCCTCTCCATCTCTGAATGCACCGTGTCAGCCTGCGCATATTTTTATGTTTGCAGAGCTGCATGCATGCATGAGTGTGTGTGCGTGTGTGCAGGATGCTAAAACCTGGAGCTGTGAAGGAGGGGGAGGGGCACGGATTGAGACGCTGACAAATTAAACGAAAAAAGAAAGAAAGAGGGGATACACAGAAGAGAAAAAGAAGGGAGGAGGAGGACAGTGAGGAGAGGACAGATGCTGAGGAGAGAGTGATAGTGAAAGGCACGCTGAGGAGAGATAGACGGAGAGAGTGAGAAGGAGGAGGAGGAGGAGACGATCTGCTGGAGGAAGCAGCAGCATCGTTGATTTTCACAGGAACCAAGGCGGCTATCCTCTGTTGCCGTGACGATGGGCTGCTGGCTCTCTGGACCGTGGATGGGAGACCAAATGGTGAGCGTCCAAAGACCTGTTCAATGTTCTGAATGATGCTGGCTGTGTGTTTAATGATGTCTGATTTGAAGAAGATGGAACTGAGCTCTGTAAGACATGTTCAGGTTTGTGTGTGTGTGTGTGTGTGTGTGTGTGTGTGTGTGCGCCTGTAGATGCAGATGCAAAATGGCATCATCTCATAATTTCTGCAGGACTCTGCATTTGTGTGTATGTATGTGTGTGTAAAATGAGCCTAATGTGTGTGTTTGAATCTGAAACAGTTTATGTCCTTTTTTGGTAAATATATAAAATGATCATGTTGTGTGCAAGAGTGAGGTTCATATTCGTCATCTCCATCTGCTGAAGGCTCACAGTCGTTCTGCTGCCATCCTCTGTAGCCACACACAGGTGCCATTTTGTGCTTCTCAGCTCATGCAATGTGTGTATGTGTGTGTGTGTGTGTGTATGCGTGTGTGTGTCTGGTTGAATGTAGCGGAGGGTGACTCATGGTTGTGATGTGCTGGAGTTAACAATACTGTTCATGCGTCTAATTCGATGGCTGCTGAGCTGAATGTGTGTATGTGAGTGTGTGTGTGAGTGTGTGTGGTGTGTGTGTGATGTGTGTGTGTGTGATGTGTGTGTGTGTGTGTGTGTGTGTGTGTGTGTGTGTGTGTGAAGCAGGATGAGGTTGATGCTGGCTCGTAGGTGTTAACCCTTTAGTGGAAATATGGACATCATGTTCACATTCGTCATATTTGATATAAACGGCTCAGAATTTGACTGTCTGGTAATTTTGGAATAAATCTACCATCTGTCTGCAGGCAGATCTGTGTCTTGTGACCTAGTTGCATAATGTTGACTAATTCAGTTTGTTTGTCTGTAGTGTGTTCACACTGTAAAATAAAAGGCGCTAGAAGTGCAGTTAAAATGGCAGCATGCTGACTAAAATTTGGTTGTGGTATCGTTGATGCTGTTTTCCCACAATGCATGGATGGATTAGAGCTTTCTCTCATGTCTGGCATTCCCATAAAGTTGTTGGACTTCTGAGAGACAGATTTAATAAGAGTGGTGCAGCAGAGGTATGGGTCAAACTCCCACAACACTGGAACCTACATTTCCCATAATGCAGCTGGATAGTATCTTGTGATTAGGCCCTCTCTGCCTGGTAAACAGCCACATCTTTACAACTCCACACCTCCAGCTTACGATGCAGACTTTCTGTTATACATTCATCACCTTCAAGTCCAAGCTGGGATAACCCTGATGACACCACAGCGACATCATCAGGGTTATTGACAGAGCTCCTCCAAATCTGCAGAAGACATTATACCAGTGATACTCAACTTGTCGACCATGGGCCAAATCTGGTCCATGATCGTGTGCTGCCGGGTGGCCTACCAACCATTGTCTAATTCACAATTAAAATACACTGATTCTGACTGGGATATTTTTTTTCTACTTTGAAAGCAACTACAGTGTCAGAGTACATATCAAAATCATTAAAATTTAGCTTTTTTAAATAATTAAATAGAATAAAGTGCCAAGGGAGGATCCCGCCCAAGTCCCCTGACAGAGGTCCAGGCTACACCCTTAATGTCCTTCGTTCTAGAAACACCCATGCATGCATTTGCCCTGTAGGGTTCCTGCAACTGGATTTGCCTCTTGGCAAAGATGAGTGAGCAGAGCAAACATTGAAAGGCTGAAAACAGGCAGTTCTGTTTTTATATATACTGATAAATATAATTAACATTTGTTTATTAACTGCCCCCTGATTTCCTGTCATTTTGCAAAAGCGGCCCTCGGGCAAACCAAGTAGAGTATCAGTGCATAATAATTTTACAGGCTGAGGGGAACTCACATACACACGCTAATATTGGAGGAAAAAGGGTATAAAATAGGAGGAGAACAGGTATTACATTTACATTACATTACATTCTCTGGAGGTCATTAGTGAATTTGAGTATTGCCATTCAGCCGTCCCGCTCATTGATTTATAAAACTGCCAACAAGTGTCAAAGAATTGTACAGATCTTACACTGACCAACCCTAACTAAAGACTGCAAGATGTACATTGAGTGGAGTGCTGCTGCACACATGGATGTAGATCTGGGCTCAATATTTAGAACATGTGCATTTGTCCCCCCTATAATGATAATATCAAAGTGGCAGAGGACATTTCTTTTGACAAAATTAAAGACCTTCACACTATAAACTGATGCACAAAAGGCACATTTAGGTGCATAAATAGTCACCAGAATGCACGAGCATTTGATGCTTAAACATTTCTGGCAAAGGACCCCCACACCTCCCATTTCATATCTGTGCCCCCCAGCATTGAAACAAATCCTGCGTCCTTGGCTGCACAGTTCATTTACAGAAAAGTAATAGTTTCTTTGTAAATTTTGTTGATATTAAATGATTAACATCAAATAAGTCCGTAGACTTATGACAAAACAGATTTTTCTGTTTGACACTGTGACAGGTTTTCATTATGATCTGATGCTTTGACATGATCAGAAGACGTAATGAAGCTCCACTGATCAAACATTTAATTGAGTAATGTGGTAGTTGTGAATCCACAGAGAAAGACTGGAAACTCCGAAACTCTAAAGCCACTTTGCCACTAAAAAAAAAAAAAAATAAAATAAAAAAATAAAAAAAACACTAACATTTGTCTTTTTAATGTAATGGGAAAGGTTACAATCAGCATTCACACCTGGGTCAAATGACTCTGTAGTAGTCACAGGTATTTATTAGCTCCAGCTTCAGTCAGCATTGGTGGAAAAACAACACCCAGTTAATCACACTAATTTTAGCCCCTAAATTGGTGAAATGCAGTCACGTGCCACCACATAATACTGTCCGTCTCCGCCAAAGTAGCATTCAAACATAGGTTCAAATTAGTCTACACCAAGTTTGAGAGAGCCACTGAAAAAGTAAGAGATATATGAAAAGAAGTAACCACGGTAAAGCTTTCAGATGCTTCCATGCTGCTCTTTGCTGTTTACTAATCTGTTTTCCAGCCTGTCCATGATGTCAAATGTGACACATCAAAAAAACCCACACACACACAGCCATACTCGCCTGCTGCAGAGACTCACTTTTGGTGCCAGGTCCTTTTGCTCTATTTCATCTCCCACTGTAGATAGTCCTCCCTCAATGCAGGCAGGATTCTCAGCTGATCAGCATAGCAATGCCGAGTCAAACTGCCGTGACATCATCGTCAATGTGACACTTGGTGAACTCTTATCGGCCACCAAACTGAGTAATATCTGCATTTCATCAGTTGTAGCATGGCTTAGTGTTGGGAGCTGCTGTTTTTTAAAATCTGGGTCGCGTGAATAAGAAATTGTGGTCACTATTGACAGTAGCTTGACTATTTATAAATGGCGAATGCAAGATGTCCCATGTTGCACTGATGACAATTCTTTCTGACCAGTGGTCTGCAGTGTTTTAGCGCCACCTTCAAGTATCTGCTCAGCTCGGTTGAAACCTCGACTGAGGTGGTACCAAAAAAGGTACCAGGCAAAAGGTACTACCCACATCTGTTCAGTTTGCAGCACCAAACAGCAGACAAAGTTGATGTCCACTGGTGAAGACAGTGAAATATCTAACAGCTAAAGAGCCAGATGTTTTTCTCAGGAGTTGGTGGAGACCAAACCAGAGCTAAAAGGAAAGCAAATACTGCACTTACATTCATCATGTGGACATAACCATGACTCCGTCAGGGTGACCATCTCACTCTGTGTCCGCTGGATTTGGGAATAGCCAAATGTTGCCACCATCACATCCTTCCTCTTCCCCTGTTTGCTTGTCTCAGGTGAGTGGGCGAAGTCTTGCAAACCTGAGCCAGCGGGATGCTTTGCGGATCCTAGCGGCCAGTCAGCGTCCAATCACCATGCAGATCAAGGGTCAGAGGGGGTGTGGCACTGAAGCAGACAGGGGAATGTGGGAGCCCCTTCCCCTCAACCTGCAGCACCTCAACCTGCCCCTCCCACTGATGGGGGCAGGGCTCAATGCCTCCAGCCCCTCCTACCAGGACAGGTATAGACACACACACACGCACACACACACACACACACATATAAAAAGACAACATGATGAGGATCTGTACAGTATAGTAAGTCTTATTACTATGGAGAGCTGTTAAACCTGCTTCAATAAAAGTGACACCCTCTTCTTCACAACATGGTTCTTGTGTTCACAATTTTGCTGTTAAAACTGAGAACGAGGAATCGCTGATCTCTTTGTATCATGGTTTGGTTTGCAGACTCACATTGGGCGAATTTAATTTGGCTGACAAGCACAATGAAATAAATGTTACCTGATAAATGTCTGCAAATCTAAGCATCTTTTAAAAAGTTAGTTTTTGCAGATGAACCCCCTCCAGATTAGTGTTGTCACGGTAACAAAATTGGGACCCACTGTACGATACCAATGAAAATATCATGGTTCTGAGTAGTATCACGATACCACAGCGAAAATGAGGCAGATGTGCCTTTTGTCATTTATAAAAAGATAAATCACTTTTCTATAATACATCAATGATATTTCAATGGAATAAATTACTTATTGACTTATTCATACTTCAAAAACAGCATCAATGAGTGATTAACATAAAGGGGATCAAAATAAAATAAATAAATAAAATAAAAATCAACCAGCCACCCTTCTCCCCTGACAGTCCCTTCATAAGTAATGAACAGTCCCTAAAGTGCGGTGAGGTTTGTGGGCCGTTACTGCCAGAAAGAGAGAAATGTGAAAGGCTCGTTTCTCCTCTGACACATCACATACCTGTGTTAGGCTGGCTCGGCTGTTCAGGTACTTCTGGGCAGTCCACATGCCAAGAAGAGGATATCATTAGAGCCGACTTCTCCGTCGCCAGTCAGCCGATGGTCGCCGTATTTGACAGGAATACATTACTGTCTGTGTCTGTGACCCCCGTTCAACCCACAACCGATGGGATTCGCCTTTCGTTTCTGCTGCTGGTTGAAATCTTTAGGCTGCTCGCACAGCGTGCTGAATGATTTAAGCCTATTTTGCTCGCTCAAAACTATTTTTAGTCGCAAATGCCAGTGTGGTGACGGGCGGATCGCCACACTGCCGACATTTTACTCCGCCCGTCACGGCACGCTGTTTTATTGCGTTATCAAAACACGCCACTATTATTCGGCCTTGCTTTTAACTTATTCCACCGAATACTGAATGTGTGTTTTTTTGCAATATTCAGCCGAATATATTCGGTTACCGAATATTCGGTGCATCCCTAGTTTCATGTACCCATACAGATCTCTGTTTATCTGTGCCCAACAAACTATTTGCAGTCAGTCTCTCACCCTCAACCAGAGCTAGAGGAAACCCATTTTAATCACTACTAATTACTAGAAAATGATAAATGATTGCATGGGAAGGTTAGGGTAAGGAGGTGATGAGGTGGTTGCCTGGCAACAATAAAAAGGCAAAGCAAGCGTTTTTTGCAACCTGTAAAATGCTTTCTGTGTGATCAGGGCCTAAGAATGATGAACCACAGGAGTATATTAAGGTCTTAAGTTCTACGTCATAACAGGATTTAAAAATGATTTAGCCTTGAAAATGTCTTAATTGTGTGTCCCTGTCCTCTGTCTCAGACATTACTACAGCCATCTGTCTCTGCCACAAGATCACTGTGAAGGAGGACGGTACAGCTACCTGTCCAGCTCCCCACGGGACACTGTGGACATCGGTCACCAGGTGAAAAGGAGAACCACACACATTTGTTGAATATAAATGTTATATTTTAATTGCAATCTGCAAAAACCAAAATATTGGGTATCACTCTGGCCTCTGCAACAATCAGTTTCAAATGCTTTAATTTAGTCGAGATTTAACAAAGACTTCCTTCAGTTAGTAATAAATGACCAACCCATAAACATACAGAAGCTTTGTGTTGTTTCTAATTTTCTTTCATCACATCATGAATCCCTCAGGATCCAGAACTGAGTGGTCGCGGACCAAAGGGACAGAACTGCCTGATGGGATGCTGCAATGCAAATTTAGACGAACCCAATGGCTGCCACAGTCAGGTATCCAAAACTGTGTTGAGTATCTTATTGTTAAGATCGCATGCCATCACCTTCCTATTTTGAGTAGAAAATATAGAAACCGAGAGGGAATTCACATGAGAATTGTTTGGCCTCTGGGCTGCCGAACCAGCACAAATAAGACAAAAAGAAACCGTGTAATTCTAAAAGCACTCACAAAGGGTGAAACGCACCACTAACTGTGCTGCCAGGTAAATACCATTTTGGAGCTCCTGTGCCATTTGCACAGATCTAAATTAGGTAATGTTCATACACTACCACAAAACCTGCCCCTTTCTATCAAATTGTGCCTCATTGGAAAAAGAGGCCAATTCACAAAGATCAGCGCTAACAGCCACACGCAGTTAGAGTGAAATAATTAGTGTCTTCAGTGAGTTAGTGGTAACTGAAGCGTATTTATTAGGAGTGTCATTCCCAGCACTGACCCAAATACGGTTTCTCTCTGTCATGTCTAAAGTCCTTGCCTGAAGATTTGAGGAATGCCTCTGCACCCTGCGGGTCAGGACCTGCAGGTCGCATCTGAGAATTTCAGTTTTTTTTTCTCTATGCCATCATTCTGCCTCCAGGGGCAACATTTATACTTATCCACATGGATAATTGCAATCAGATGCAAGAAAGGACTTCATAGGCGTGCACTGTTATATCACGAACACAATATTTTTTGTCTATCTGACCTTGACACAGGGCAGAAAGTGTTTTCAAGTGATGCGAGCAATCAGCAACTGCTATCCATTCTTTGTGAATTCGCCTGCAAGCGTGATTGCAATCATTTTTATTACTCAATCTTAAGAAAACAAAAATCAGTAACAATATAAACTGAGTGTTTTGGTGTGTGTATTAATGTAAATGATCTTGGGACTGAGGATGACTGTTGTTGCAGACGGATGACGAGGACTTCATGCTGGAGAAGCCAATGGGCTTCATGCCCCTCCATCATGAGCTGGACAGCGGTCTGGGCTGGACTGACGGCTCCATCCATCAGGGGGACCTCTCTGGGCTAGAGACCGAGGAAGGAGGCCTGGAAGACTGTCATTCTCATGGGGCCCTCGCCCCAGGGGGTTGTGGGGGCTTTGGTGGCGGTGGCTCTCCTTCCTCTGAGTCCTTTATTTCTTCAGAGCTCAGCGACTCTGGTTTTTACAGCGTAAGCACTGGGGAGTTTAGGCACTTTCAGAGGCTGCTGGAGAAGCGAATGCGGCTGTACAATGCCAGAATGCAACATCAGGGTGAACCCTGCGAGAGGCGGGAGCGGCGTGACAGCTGCCCTAAGAGCCACCGTGAGCTCCTGGAGGCCATCCCTGAGGCCCTGACCATGCAGCCTCAGTGTCCACGCCTGCAGCTCGAGTTGGAGGAGGGCACTGGGCCCATCATGGATCTCCCACCCCGTGGCCTTTTCAGGTAGAATCTTGTAGAATGACACCTCTTCTAAAGATAAAGCGAGTGCGCAAACTCTGTCAGATTAAGTGTGACTAATTGTCCCGATAAACTACGAGCGACAGCAACAGTCACAGAACTTATCGAGCCCTGAGCAAGCCCGAGCAAAGGCTTCCTGTTGCTCTGAAAATGGGTTGGAGGTGCACAAAACTTTGTCAAAAAAGAGCCAGTGCCACTAAAGGCTGATTTATAGTTGCATGCAGGCTGTATGCAAAGCCTACGTAAGTGTCTCACGCCGTAATGAGCAGTTATTCTTATGCAGTGGTGTCTCTGTGTCACTCTGTAGTTACACCTTTAAAAGACTATTTGGCAGTGGGGTAGCTATGCCACAATGATGAGTTTTTGTGAAGTGCTGTAAATACTGATTGATTTAAAACACACCTAAAACCTGGCTTAAAAGTAACAATGTTAAACAAAAGTACAAAATTCTGCTCTGATATAACACCTGTCTTTTGCTAGACACATTTTCCCCAAAACATGGTAACGTTATTAGCATAATCCAATGACATTTTACACTGCATAAATTAGCCTAGCAGCTAGCAGAGTTTTCCTCCGATCATATGAAACCAGGAACAAAAGAAACATTCAACAAAGGGAAAGTTTCAAAATTTGGCTCCATTATAACTAACAAGGTTCACTAACAAATCAATTAAATAGTTTTTCCCGCTCATATACTAGTAATTAATAATATAATGAATATTGACAGTATTGAGCAGAGTTTACTTGCTAGTTTAAACCAGTTTAGAACCTTGTAAAACCTGTCTAAACTGAATCATTTTGCATCAGAACATCCATAATTTACACCAGCCCAAACAAGTATCTCTGTTGTTTAAACCAGTTAAAACAAGATTATGTCTATCTCTCTAAACTAGTTTAAATCAATTTAAAAACTGTCAACACAAGTTTTCTGGAGTTAATCAATCTGCACAAATCTAAATCTAATCTAAATCTAAACATTAGTTTTAATTTACCAAGAATATCTAACGACATCGTCAAGAATTTCATAGCTATATGCAGTAGACGAATTTAAATATCAATCTGAAGGTACTTGTTAGATTCTTCTAAATATCTGCGTCCTCAAATGTGTCATTACTGTTTGTTTGTTGACCTCATTCTTTATATTTCCAGGGTCTCATCGGTCCAGTTCCATAAAGCTGACCGGCCCTGTCTCAACCGTCACAGCTCCAGCAGTGGAGCCCTCTTCAACCCCTCCCACGCCCATGCTGCAGTTTCTCGAATGAACGCCCCGGTCCTCTCCACTTGCAGCACCCCCTCCAGCCACCGGAGACCACTAGTACCCATGCAGCAGCACCACCAGGGCTCGAGTTCGGTGGGGATGCTGAGGAGAAGCCGAACGCTCCATCATCGCCCTCCTCCCCAGGAGTACCGCCGTCGAGCGAGCCACCCAGCTTCCCCCTCCTACTGCGCAGCAACCCTGCACCACTGTGGAGGTGTCCCACCACACAACATCCTGCCACAGGGCCTGCCAGAGGAAGGTGAGCTAGTGGCTGGTGTGATGGCTTCTCACCCAGCAGGCCTGTCCCTCTCACCACAACAACACCCCGCCGCTCTGGGGCATATCAGGGGTTCCAGCAGCCATGAACGATGCTGCGACAACAACCCCAATGCCCAGATCGCTCACCACGACTGGTGGCATTCACAGGAAAGAAGCTTGATGCCTGAGAAACTGGTGACAGAAAGGGACAGAGAGATTGAGAGGGAACTAGAGCAAGAAAGACAAATGCAAGAGAAAGAGCTGGAGAGGGAAAGGGAGCGGGAAAGGGAGGCACAGATTCAAGAGGAGATGGACAGAGAGAGGCAGCAGGAGTTGGGGAGGAGCCGAGCCAGAGAACAACAGCAGCTTCAGATTTCAGTCCATCCTCCTCAGGCTGGAGACGTCAATGACACCTGGCCGAAACCAGCCACCCGTCAGTCCCAGAGTGGCGTGGGAGGCAGAGGTCTCTATAGCACCCTGGAGGGCCACACAGGAGCTGGCTCTGCTGCTGGATGGGATGCAAAGAAAGGACATATGAATGTGAGTTCAAGCCCTAATCCCAGTTCTGGTTTTCAGACAAGATCTAATCCAAGCTCCAAACCCAACGCAACCTCACGGATCTCAAGGAACCAGCTCCTGAGAGACCGGGCGTCTCAGCTGGCGGATGAACGAAGTGGAATGAGCACGGATGAAGAGACCAATACTGACATGCTGATGGGTCGGTACTGGAGTCGAATGGAGAGAAGGGAACACTTCCTGTTGGCCCGTGAGCAGAAGCAGCAGCAGCTGCAGGCAAGAGGAGGGAATATGCGGGACGCCATCGCCAGGGGAGGATCCATCGCTGGAGGAGGAGGAGCCTCTGTTGGAGATGGAGGTGTGGTGGACAGCAGAGGAGGCGGGGCTTTTCCAGAGGGGCGGTGCAACACGGTCCTGGAGCTAAGTCAGAGGAAGCTGAGTCGTCTGAGGAACAGGAAGTTGTTGGATGACTGGACGACAGTAGAGGAGCTGCTGACTCATGGGACCAGGCTGGATAACCAGGAGGACATAATGTGTACCAGCTCTCTGCTGACGGTCACCACCGTCTAACTGCATGGGCACCACGTCTAACTGTAACTCTGTGTGCGTGTGTGTGTGTGAGTGTGCGTGATGTTGAGCTAACAGTACAACATTTCACTGAATCCTCTTGTTCATTTTTTTCCAGAATCAGATGATGGGTATTCGTTTCATCTTTGTGTGTCCCATACACAGAGAGGTCCAGGATGTCTTTAGCCTAGCTAAGCACAAAAACTGGAGGCAGGGGAAAGCTGTTAGCCTAGCTTAATTTAACGAGGAACAAAAATTCACCTTCAAACAACCCCACAGCTGTCTGATCTAAACAAACAGCTGGATTATGCATCTGTGTAGCTGCATGGGTCTGAATGATGTCATTTTTATCTGCTCACGTACATGCAGACCCTCTGTGGACGTTTTGTATTCCACCCCAAAATATCTTACTGTGCAGACTCTATGAATCCACAGTGCAGTGCATTTTGCCATCCACCCTGCTCTCTCTGTCCTCTTCGAAGTACCGTACTAAGGGCCCTATGACTTCTGCAGCACCGAAAACAGAGATGGAACTGCAGAGATAAGTTTGTCCAGAGTCAGCCTCTAATGTTTCTGTATCAAGCTAGCCAACGTAGCATTTGAGTGGTCAAGCCGGTAGCTGCCATTAAAGTTGTAGTGCACCTGGAGTGTACCCGTATTCTACTCTGTAAATATATTGAAACAGCCCAGGATACAGAAATGACTATGCCGGCTTTTCAAAATAAGGAGTTAATACAGTGTAAATGCATGTATGGAAATAAGATTAATTGGATTATATTCACAGGAAGTATAAACATGTTACCTGTGTCCCTTATGAATAAGGAAATCCCACTAAATTGTGAGGGAAATTATTAAATTATTGAAAATAGTACAAAAAAGAATGCATTGGTGGTTTACCTCAAATTCATTGATAATTAATAAACTGATTTTTTTCTTATCTAATTATTGAAATTATATTCATCCACAACATAATCAGACACTCTTTCTGATGACAAAATGTGCTTAAACTATAAAACACAGAATTCAGAAAAATTAAAACCACATCTGAAAAAATAAAAACACATTTCATAGGGCCCGACGTACTTGAAGCGCAAAGATGAAACTGGTATCCATCCTCTCATATGACTAAAACAGAACAAGAGGATTTATGGAAATGCTGCTGTTCCTTTAATGAATGTGCGCGCGAGAGGGAACCTCACTGTCATCGCTGTACATCACCTCAACTGATAGCTTTATGTGTGGGTGTGTCACCACTGTACAGCACTCTGGACAAAATGTGTGTGTCAGTGCATGACGCTTGTAAAGACAAACAACTGAACAAGGTCAGATGAGCGTGTGTGTCTGCGTCATGTCTTATGCTACATCTTATGCTACATTTATTTCACAGAATCTTTGACAAAATTTACAAAACTTTTGGGTTCAGACTCAAATCCTCAAACAGACCATGAGATTTCGGGGAGCAATACTGTTCTGCGTGATGTACCTGGCTGTGCACTAATGATAGATCACATACAACTACTTTAACATCAGGGCCACAGAACACATCAACTGTAGCAATGCAGACAAAGACAACTGAGATTTGATACCAAATCCTGAATGGTTTTTATAGAAACTCTGTTTACAATTAAAATACCAATCGGTGGGAGCTTTTGTAACTAAAATGAAAAAAAGCGACCTGATTTCCTTGGTTGTGAAACACTAGTGAAACCGTGTTGATCAGGGATGGGGAACAATGTGCCATGGAGGTTCTCAGAGGATTTCAGCAGCAGGTTGATGCTCTTACCACCACAGAAACCCCACCAATTAAAACAATATATGTACTTTTTAGGACATGAGTACCATGATTATGAAAGTGAGGCGCACTCACTCCACTGTACACAGCACACTGACTAAAAAACAAAATTGCTCTGACTTTGAGTGAGCAGCTCTAGTATCCATCTCGTGATTCGGAGGCGCTCTGTAATTTAATGTGTCCTTCCTTGGACCATGCTCCACCCTTCCATCAAGTTTCATGAAAATGAGGGCAGCAGTTTTTCTGTTATCCCTCTGACAAACAGACAAATGCACAGATGAACGCACAAATGACATCAAAACCATGACCTCCTCAGCGGAGGTAGAGGAAGTCTCTGAAAGGGAAGCACTATAACGTGTGAAGTTTAAATAACTAAAAAAGAGTGTTTTTTAGCCCCATTGTTACTGTTCTGCTGACCTGCGTGAATGCAGCATAAGATTTTGGGCTCTTCATGGCACATGGTTCCCTGTTCCTGCTGGTGTCTTTACTGTTGGCAGGATGTTTACAGATCTACCTACCCAGGTAACGTTTACTGAAATCTACAGACATGCGTTGACTGTGCGGAAAAAAATTCCACGGAAGATACACCTCAAGTCAACTTAGGTTGTCTAGACTGCTGCAGTGTTTGTACAGTCAGGACAGACAGAGCTCAAGTCAGCGTTGACATTCCACTAAAAACAGGTACAGTGGGAGTGAATCTGAAATCTGCTGATTCCAGGTCTGCAGTTCGGGAAAATGTGCAATAATACCTCAAGCTAGTTTTAATATGAAAATGATGGTGTTGTGTGCGCTACCTGTCAGGAGTTCATCGAATGCAGTAACTCGTTTTAAATCAAACAGATGCACAAATGTGACGAGTCGCCATGAGTGCACAGTAATCCTAGAATCTGAAATGGCAAGAGCAAAGGTTGTGTAGATATTTACATTATTTCTTTACATTGTTTTCATTGAGAGGGACCTAAGAAAACAACTTTTTGCACATCGTTTTTTATACTAAAAGTTTCCCTACCTTTCTGTACCAGGGACTGAGGCCAGTGGAAAGACTGTAGATAGAACGACAGTATGTGTTGATGTTTTCTTTATAAACTATCATAGTGATTTATGGAGGAAAAAAATAAGTTTATTGTCATTGTGTTGGACATATTTCAATATTTTTCTTGTGATGGTTACAAAACCAATGTGAACAGTTTTTATGATCTTTAAAATCTACTTAATTTCCTTAAAAGCTGGTGAAATTTTTGATTTACCATTTTCAAAGAGTGAACACAAAATGTGAATATTATTGTCGCTTTAAATGGCTAAATTGAATTTTACTGTTGTTTTGTGTCATTATGACATGTACATATTGATTTTGTCAGAAGGTGCAGATGAGGTCAGAGATAGTAACAGGTCATGCTGATGCCATCAGACGCCTCCAGTGGTTTATCATGTGATTCTGTAGGTTTATAGCTGTGTTATGGAGGCTGTATATACAGCACAGAGATTAACATTGTAGTAGTAGTTCGTTTAACACTCACAACATTGTCAAAATCCATGAATTTTGAGTAGGATCACTGACACTAATGCTTTAAAGAACACTGCAACATTTTGGATAAATATTCTTGTTCTGTCTTGTCCAGGGTCGGATGTTTCAGCTGGTTATCAGTTTCATCTCTGTGTGTTTAGTAAAACAATGGTTCCTGGATGTGTTTAGCCTAGATTAGTACAAATACTGGAAGCAAAAGAAAAACGTCCAACAGCAGATGTTAGGGTGCAGGAATAGAAATACAAGAACTTATGTTTTTTACAGGATGTGTTTGGTTTAGTTGGCACAGAGAGACACAGCTAGCCTATTTCTGCCAGTACTCTGAGCGACATGCTAACGTCGTGATTGCGAGCACACTGATTGACAGACACAGCTGTCAACTATGAAGTCACATCTCCTTTTTATAACATCAAATAACTAATTAAAACCAAATTTATCAGAAAAATGAACACACATCAGCGTGATCAGATCTACCTAAAATGACAGAAACCAGTTGCTAAAATTGGTCAAATTTGTTGCCAAATTTGTTGTCAAATTACAAACATTATTAATCACACAAAACAAGTTTCAACCATAAACTGCGATCAGATTTTGGACCTTGTCCACTTTTGTTTCAGGATCAGCTGCAGACTGACTTGGTAGAGATGGCTGCCATCTTGTTTTTACATTGACTAGTGTATTATCCTTTTGTTATCACTAGATGGCTCAAAAAAAGTGTCCACGAATGAGGACAATAGGACTCAGTTGAGTAGAATGCAGTATAAGGTCAAGTAAACCCAAAATTTGATGTCCTCATATGAGGACACAGGGTCACAGAAGGATGTGAACCAGCCACCAGGGGTCAATAGAGATGTTTTGACGTCACTTTAGGGAAGCATTCATGTCATCATCTTTATACAGTCTATAGTCTGGACCAGGGGTGGTGAATCTAGAACGATGCTGCTCATGGGGCTAAAGAAAAAAAATACAACATCAACAAAGCTGTCTGATTTATCCTGTTCCCTAACAAGCTAGTCATCAATCCAACAATTTGCAAACTGCCTCGAGAGAGTCCAAAATAAAGGAACCTGATATACACGCTAGTGCTACTCTGGCAGAGAAAAAATTGCATGGCTCGGTTGTTTGTTTGTTTGTTTTTCTTCCCAACGAGGGAAATAGCTGTCCCTCAGCACAACACCACACATAGCTGAATCACTAAATAATCAGAGATGTGCAGCAGTAATTCAGAGGTCAGGAACCAGGCTAAGCTTTGGAGTTGCTGGAAGGATTTTTCTCTTTTGACTGAGCAAGGCTAGCAGCTTCCCTTTGCTTTCAGTCTTTGTGCGAGGCTAAACACATCCATGGCCTGTGTACTGAGAATAGAGAATAGACTGACTCATCTGACTCTGGAGAAGACAGAGAGCAAGATGGTTTACAGAAATGTCGAACTGTTTGTTTAAAACACCTTAAACGTTCAGACTCAGAGAGAGAAAAGAAGTGGAATCTGTTTGTTTCCACGTTTTCCCTCTCCCTCTCGGCTGTGACTCAAACAGTCTGAATAATGGATGACGAAGAAAGATTTTTTTCTTCCCAACCGCCCCCCCCTTTCACTCTCTTTGCTTACGTTACACAAGGACACTGAGGGCTGAAAATAGCACTGCTGTCCTCATGTGATGTGAAAATTAAAAGCACACTGGAGCGGAGACACTTGCTGCTGGGGAACTCAACACTTGTTTTACTCCATCTGACAATCCCTCCATCCAGCCAGCAACACCACCTCCATCTGTCTGTGCAAGGGTACTTTTCACAACAGCAAGCTTTTTGGAAAATGATGATGTACATGTGATTGTAATAAAGAGATTTTAATTAGCTATGAAACGGTGGTTTAGTGTTTTTATTGAACACATTGCAGATATTTTAGATGTTTTGAAACTTGGGCACAGATATTTAAGTCTTTCATAACTGGTCTGAGTAGGTGAATTAATGTAATACTGTTATACATTATGAATTGAGGCCACATGTTTTATGTACAGCATGTGAAGAGATTACTTAAGAGTCCCTTCTTTAGCTACTGGCCTGGACCCCACATGAGTCCATTATAAATCATGCATTAACATACATCATGCATTAAAGCACAACAATATTCTGTTGGGTCAGTCATTAATTAACCTTAAATAAATAAGGCTTTTTAAATCAGATGTTGCAGTTAAGGTTTGAATAAATACTGTTGGTTTAAAAAAATGTCTTGTAATAACTGTTGACAGCATTTGATAAATAGGATGGAAATTAAGAAGAAATCATAAAAATAAATATTTAAAAATATGTTTTTAGAATGTTCTTTTTTTTGCATTAACATGTTCTATTGCAAGTACTACTTTTTTTGCTCTCTGTGGTTTCTGTTATAATATCTGTCATACTGATTTGTTTCTGCTATAACGCTGAGCTGCATTTTATGTTATGAAAGGTGCTATATAAATACAGTTTATTATTATTAAAAAACAAAATTACATTCACCAGATATATGCAGCTTACCCTTATTCTCTCCTCAGGGGTCTCATTTATAAAACCATGCATAGGATCCATGCTAAAAATTTATATTCAAAAATTCAAATATGGTGTGTGCCAAAAAATATTTGACAATTTCTACAATCAGGCTTCCACCTCACCATCTGCGTCGCCAATTTCCTGTCTCTCAAAATGTTCGTAAGTGTAGGTCAAAGTTTCTACCATCAAGTCTGTTTTTATAGATCACAACTTTTGCGTGGGAAGTGGCGTACACCTCTTTAAGACCTTGTTTTCTGCATATGCAATGTTTATAAAGAGACCCCTGTATGTTTAAATCAGACAGCTTTGGAGGTGCTGGAGGACTGAGCTGGGCTAGCAGTTTCCATTTGCTTCCAGTCTTTGTGCTAAGCTAAGCAGTGCTGGCCCTGAAGCTCAAAATCAGAAAAGAAAAAACAAAAAAGTTACTTATTATCAATGCATCTATAATTCACCAAGTCACATAATAACAACAGAGCCATCTCTATGACACTTCAAACTCTATCTGCTGATGAAGACCTTGAGCTGCAGTAAAAAGTTCTGGGAGGCAAAGTTTCTGCAAGTATCCAAGTATCTACAAGTACAGCACTTTACCTTCACACTGGAGTTCAATGACAAACATCAGTATTCAGTCTCAATTATAATTGTTTTTTAATAAAGAACATATATTTCACTGATTGATGATTATTGATGTTTTTAAATGCAGTGGGTCATAATTAGTCCACAGACTCAGTGGAGGCATTTTAAATGTGCCACTCATAATATTTAAATATTTTTTCTTTTTCTACTTCAGTGCAGTAATAGTTGGAGGTGTTGTAGGAAAGAACACTTTATTTTAAACCTTTTTCTTTCCAAGGGGCCAAACACTTGGCCTCACACACTTGTATTGATGCTTCAGTAGCAGCAATGAAAAGACAGAGTGTGAGAAACCAGGGAAAAGTGACTCACAGAGCCCCCCAGTGGGACAAAAGATCAAGACCTCTGCCCTGAAGACACAGGGGCTAAGGAGTGTGGTGGTACTGATGTGAAAACCTGCTCATCTGTTGTAGAATGAATATTATGTAATAGTGGATACATGGCAATAAGTAACAAATTTGTGTTTTTTTTTATCTATTCATTTTTTCCATTCAAACAGTTTCCATGTAGTGTGACCCTCAGCACTTCAGTCAGCTGTTTTTTGTATTTTTCTTTTCGGTAAAACTTCGATTGTGTATTTTTTTTAATTGCTAATTGTTTTGAGTTGCTTATCACCACCTGTCATCATAGAGCCTGTCAGGCTATTGGTGCACATATCAGTGTGGCAACCAAAACTATTTTAACCTGACAAAGATCCAACTGGGATCAAAACGTATATTTAAATGCTTTTGTGTTTTGGAGCCGGATACAGCCGGATACAGATGATATACTTTTAATCACCTCCAAGGATTTCAGTGAGTATTGCAGACATGTTACGGACAAATAATTTTTCCACTGATGTTTCTATTCAGTGATTTGTACCCTACAGAATGTAAGTGATTTTTATACTTTGACTGTATATAGAATCCACAGTCCAGTGCACGTGTGATTCATTACGGTCATTGATCCCGTCCTCCATCTGTTCGTCTAATATGACCACTGAGCATGTGGCAGCTCAGCGTTCCCTTTTATTTTGAGCGGCACTCTGATGGGCTGAAAACGGTGAGAAAGTCCAGTCATACCCAGACCCACACATTGATATGAAGATGGGGGACTATAAATAGGAGGGATGAAGCCAGCACAGATCAGATTCTCTCTACAGAGACCTCTACAGCACACAGATCCAGACATGGCACCTACAATCACTGCAGCAATGACCAATTCTCAGGAGCATCTCACTCTGACCCACAAGGTAAACTCAAGATTCAACAACATTTAAATTTTGTTATTTTGGAAGCTTGTCTTTGTTCATGCCACCACTTTACTCCAGAATTAGTTTATTAATGACTTTGTTATTCTTCCTGCAGCTCAGAAAGCCTCTGGTGGAGAAGTTACGCAGAGAGCGAATCAACAGCAGCATTGAGCAGCTCAAGTCTCTCCTGGGTCCAGAGTTCCTCAAACAGCAGCCAGACTCCAAGCTGGAGAAAGCAGACATCCTGGAGATGACAGTATGTATCCTGAAACAACTGCAGCAGCAGCATCAAGCTGTGGACTCAGCAGCTGAAGGTCAGGGCTACTCCAGGTGTGTCCAAAAGGTGACACACTTCCTGTCCAAAGAGCAGGTGAAGACACAGTCCCAGAGAAGACTGCTGAACCACTTCAACAAGCTGCAGTCTTCCTCTGATAACAACCTGACAGAGGCTGACTTCTCTCCTCTGAGCGCCACAGTCCAGACCAGCATCACCAAACAACAGAGTCCAGTCAACAGCGCCCTCTGGAGGCCGTGGTAGACACCTACAGACTGGAGTTACTACCAGACAAACTCAGATGACCATATTGGTCAAAGATTACTGGAAATAAATTCTTCTGAATTCTGACATTTGATGAAAAAAACAACAACGGTAAAAGCACTGGCAGCAAAGTTTCCAAACAGATACCTTAAAATTACAGTAAATAACCATATCACAAAACTACGTACAATAACTGTAAAAATACAGAGTAGATTTTTACAGTCAAAATTAATTAAAATACAGTATGTTATAGTTGATAAATGCCCATTATACTGTAAAATAACATACATATGTCAAAAAACATTAAAATCAGATACCCTTCAGGTTAATCTCTGTAATTTTACAGTATTTAAGAAACTGTAAAAAAAAAAAAAAAAAATGGTAAAAACACTGGCAACAAAGTTTCCAAACGGATACCGTAAAATTACAGTAAATAACTGTATCACAGAACTACAGACAATAACTGTAAAAATACAGAGTAGATGTTACAGTCAAAATTAATTAAAATACAGTATATTATAGTTGATAAATGCCCATTATACTGTAAAATAACATACATATTATGTCAAAAAACATTAAAATCAGATACCTTTCAGATTAAGCTCTTTAATTTCACGGTATATATTATTTATTTTAGGAAACAGCCAAGTCTATCTATAGTAATTTCATGTTAAAATACTATTTTTCATACTTTTTCCATGTACAATAACAAAGTTATTACGTATAAAAATGAAGTAGGTTCATAAGATAAATATCTGCAAATTTACAGTATTAATCTGTCATTTTGGAGAATTAGTATATTAAAAAACAACCATTGGACAGTGGAAAAACAAGCTAAATCCATTACAAATACATCAAAAATAGCTACATTTAAGGCCAATCTCTGTGAATTAAGGGTATTTAGTATTTTTTTTTCATGGAATGGCCTCATCTATCTAGAGTAATTTCCAGTTTAAATACTGTTCTTTCATGTACAATGACTGAAAAATAATGTATAAAAATGTTATAAATGCCTTAAACCAACAATAAATGTCTGCCCATTTACAGTATTAATCTGTAATTTTAAAGAATTACAAGATTTAAAAATGTTCGTTGGACAGTGGAAAACAGCAGAGTACATTAAAAATACATGTTTTCAGTCACAATCCCTAATAGCAGAAACCAGATAGCTCCCTGCCCTGCCCATCCAGTAACACTGGAAAGCCCCCTCCTATTCTACTGCATGGGCATGAGCAACAATCTATGATAAACTTTTTCAAAACATGACACTCGCAGTATAATCATACAGTAATCATCAGTATGTTATCTTGAAAAATATTGTTTAGAAAAAGCTGTGCAGAGCAAAGAAAAATTGCAAATCTGTGACTTGTTTTATTTTTGAATACCATGGAGTTCAAATAGTTACATGATATGAAATATATATTTCTGGCGGTGGATAGATGGACCATAGTTATTAACAGAAAAGCATTGCAGATTTTGCTCTTTTCACAGGCCATGTTTACAATAAGTAAACACTACACTAGTTTTATCCTTTAAAGTGATATTTATAACTTTTGTGTTGTACTGTCCATACTGCAAGTCCAAAATATTGAGTAGCTTCTTCAGCAGCTGCTCTTGTGCTCTACAAGTAAGTTACTTTGACTAGACCTAGTTGCCCTAATTAATTGCAGGGCAAAACTGGAAATAGAAACATCTTTCATCTATAAGTAACATCAGCATAAGAACTACCTACATACCTACAATAAATAAATAAATTATGTGTACTTGAAGTTTTTTTGAGTTTGGCCCATGTTCCACTTGACAACATGGAGAGGGTGGACTTTATGTCCTATACTACAGCCAGCCACCAGGGGGCGATTGAGATGTTTTGGCTTTACTTAAGGAGCTGTCATGCTGTCCATCATACTGTATTACTAATGTACTATTCATGCTAAGTATGTCAGATTGAGGATGTAGTGTTTCAGCTGCATAGTATGTGGATTATGTATGCAAGAAACGCCCGCATGTATACTAAATTATCAAGAAGTTTTGATTATGCAGTGTGAGCTTACTGCACATACTCAACTCAATGCATTGCTAGTCTGATACTCAGAATTGCCATTTCGTTTCACTGCATTACTCTGTCTGACCGTGCTCTCATAGTAGCCGTTAGCATAGCAGCTAAGTGTTAAAGCAATTTCTCAAGATACAAGGTGCTATACACAACTTTTGGAGACAGATGGACCTGGTTTCGTCCAGAAGCCATCAAAATGTGCAGGGGTAATACAACTCTGATACGAGGTGTCCTGAGTATGGAAGCAAATCGTGACTAATATTTAAATTAAAATGCATTTGCAGAAATGCTTTTTCATTTTAAGAATGTGGCTGCATTATTTGACTATAAATAAAATGAATAATCAATCAATCTATTTGCATTTGCATTTTCTTCTTCAAGACTGCACATTTTATGCCATAATCAAAAAGAAAACAAAGAGGACATTGCTATTTCATTTTCGTGGTCTGTCCTGCAATATAGTGCCCATAATTCGAAAATGATTTGGCAATCTGAGTGGCGCAGGAGAGTGACGCCAGTAGCAGCTCTTCTTCAGCTCCGTGCTGACCATGGTGCTACCCATCTAATACGGTAGGGGACGGTGTGCACATTTGATATATGGATGCATCACAGATCATGGCGCTCCCTGAGATTGTGCTTTCTAAACATCGTAATTTCCCAAAACTGAATAAATACCTCACATAGCAACACAAAACTGCTTTGCTACCTCAATCATGTTGTAACTAAGATATCTGCTGGAAATTTTTTTTTTCATGGACTGTTCATTGAGTTACGGAGTTAATACGTCTGCTGACTACGTCCCTGACACTGATCAGCTGTGACTCCCCTATCTAACCTACATGTGACTGATCACCACCTATGCCCACAGCTGTGCAGGTAGCCCATAGCAACCATAGTGCCTACCATAAACACACACACATTCACACACACAAACATACACAAATCTAAATTGGCTGCAACACTGAGAGACACAGCACCTGCTACTAGCTTAAATGACTGTCAAGTCAGCAAACATATTATCTCTGTCAACAAAGAAATGCTGTTCCTCCTCAATTTCAAAGTCTTCAGACATGTTGGGCTGTCCTTTGCTAAAAGACCGTAGTGCAAATTATCTTTTAACTCTGTGGTTACTGCTGTACGGTGCACGTATCACGTGATGTAAACACATGTAGAGACTTGGGCATGTTTTCGCTGGTCTCGCGCAAGCGCGCACACGTGAACGCGGAGCACAGAGAAACAGTCAGAGCTACAGGCTACTGTCTCTCTTTTGAAAGGATTAAGCACAGTTACCCCTCTTCCATCCATGCGGCGCCTGCTCAGTCTTCAAACTACTGTTTTGAGGTGAACTCTGCATGAACCAAGCTGCTGCAGCAAGAACGGACGGATGTGTCGACCCTGTTCCCTGTTTAGATACACACGTGGCGAACACAATGAGTAACGTTTATAAACTTTCTAGCTTAATTTCATGTTGAAATGTATGTTTGGTGACCGTGAGTAGATATTGTAACACTGTTTCTACTGCACACACTAGCTTTGTGCTGGTCAAGGGCATCCATCCAAAGTAGCAAAAAACCGCGCTGCTGCTCAGTGGTATCTCCATGCCAGTTACATTCGACTCATGTAAGTACGCGTTTTGCTAATAATATATGGTAAGATTTTCACCAGATTCTCTGGTGTGAACAAGTCTCTTAAGTTTCAAGTGTGTTTTATTGCCTACAGTTGTTGGTGTAACGCGAAATGGCGAAGGTCTTTCCATGCTGCTTCTGTAGCCTTTCGTTAACATCAGTAAAATGTTATGTAGACCACCAACTGCTACATAGACATGAAGCTAATGCCCAATTTCCATGTTGTGTTGCTGACTGCAAACGTGTTTGTCAAATACAGTGCTTTTAAAACGCATTGTTATAGACACCATAACAACCCATCTGTGTCAGAATTGGACATTGTGTAAGGACCATATACATGTGAGAACATAAGTTGTCAGAAACAGTGCACAGATTTCAAAGACCTTCTTGCACATCTCAGGTCACGATCTTTCCAAAAGTGAGTTGGTAAATTGTCCATTTGTTCTCAGACTTGAGAGAGGTAGAGGATAATGGGCTTGTCACTTCTTCAGGTCATACTGTACGAGCAACAGTCTTATGCATTGAGGGTGACAATTTGGGATCCCACTGCATTGGAGGTTATGCTGAAAATTTCAGTACCTCCTCTCACTGTTGTAGGTACTGCTTGGTGCCCAGACAGGACATGGACAAAGTGAGTGTCAAGTTTCCAGTGAGAACTGTTGAGAGTTACAAAGAGGCAGTGCAGCTACTACAAGACAGTGAGACAACAACTGTAAATGGAGTAAAGTTTGACTCACTTTTCAATGGTCTTCAGTATTTTCATATGTGTCAGCCAGGCCTTCCACCGTGCATAGGCCATGACATGTTTGAAGGAGTAGTTGCCTATGACCTATCCATTTACATTCAGTACTTTGTGAAGGTAAAGAAATGGATGACTTACCAGCAGCTGAGGTTAAGGTTGGTGGGCAGGCAGGCAGCTGAGAATTGGTGTTTGCTGAGACTTCTTCCCATCATTATTGGGGACAGAATCAAAGACACCCAGGACCAGGTATGGCAGCTAGTTATAATGCTAAAGGAAGTGGTTGAGTTAGTCTGTGCGCCCAAGATATCTGCTGGCCAAGTCAGTTTCCTTCAGGTCCACATACAAGAATATCTTGAAACAAGGAAGCATCTATTTCCCTCTGAAAAACTTAAACCAAAGCATCACTACCTCCTTCACTACCCATCTCTGATCATGAGGCTTGGCCCACTCATTCGCTTGTGGACAATGAAGTTTGAGAGCAAGCATTCGTACTTTAAACGATGTGTGAGGAGGACACAAAACTTTAAAAATGTTTGTAAATCTCTTGCAAACAACCACCAGCTACTGCAGTCCTAAATGAACTCCAGCTCCTTCTTTCCTCCAGCATTGCAAGTGAAGGATTCCTCCCCTTACCATGCTCCG